ACAGGAATAAAAAGTAACACAAAGCCTTTACCTGTGCTTAATTTAATTATTTAAACTCCTGCTGACCCATCTTTAATCTGTGCACAGTGCTCTGACAAAAAAGCAGCCTGACACAGAGCCCTGCTGCTTTGTAACCAGACTGTGAGTAATTTTTCCCTCCTACATTGCTGATACTTGGTAAAAGTGCAGCGGCTCCTGTGATTAACCCGGGCAATCAGTCTCAATAAAGGCCTTTCCAAACAAAGACATGATCTCAAATGCTGCGAAAGCTCCAACATGAGCTGCAAATTTGTCTCTAAGATAAAGGTTAATGTTGACAAATATTTAAATATTAACGCCATAATTCAACTTGTCAGCTTGCTTGTTTCAGGTAGCCCTGAAAATGGCTTCTTGCAAAATGCCATTTGTTTCCTTCAGCGAGGCACAAATTGACTTGATTTCTTGTTGTGTTTAAAACCAAGGAGCTCTGTGTGTGTGTGTGTGTGTGTGTGTGTGTGTGTGTGTGTGTTTTACCAAAGGAGGCTATCCATTACAATAAACACCTCAGGTGCATGTTTAGTCAGTACAAATGTGTTGCACGAAAGCACTTCTTTTTTTCTAATGATGACAATGAACAAGAGCAATCTTCAGTGAGCAGCACGTTGCTGTGGAGCCGAGACTGGATTTGCTAAAATGACAGACGTTTAATAATGAACGACTTTAAAGACAATGGGGGACTACGTACAGCAGCTAAGGCTGGCACAAAGTCACTCCCACTGACCTGCATGAAGAAGCCGGTGACCAGCGCCCGGCGGATGTTGATGTAGTAGTCTCTGCTGCCGAACTCCATGCTCCGCCGCGGCAGGCTGAAGCGCTCCATGATCCTAGACAGCTGCTGGCGCACATTGTCTGCTGACATCAGCGAGCGATAGTTGACAAAGTTGTCATAGCACCACTGAGTGGACTCGTGGTCTGTGTGAGACAAGGGTCCATTTAGACAGGAAACCTATTCAGTGACAGCAGAGTGTGTAAACAGGCCACTCACTCTGTTTAAAGGCGTGGTAGACGTTGAGCAGCGTCAGGTGGTCTCCATCAATGTGGGCGAAGCGCATCTTGGACTCGTCAGCCGCCTTCTTAGCCTCCATGGGTCGAACGAAGCACTGTGGGACTAAACAAGGTTGGTATAGGCCCCAACACAGCCGCCCATAGGGATAAGTTAAGCAAATCCTGCAGAGAGGAACAAGGCCTCAGCTCTAGAGAGGCACAGAGCACTTCACAGGGCACACTGCACTGCCGAGCGTTCGTGGCAGGAAAGGAAAGGAGGAGGGTCAAAGAGAAGGGGAGGCAGATGGGTTTCTCCATCCTGATGTACAACACTATGGCTGTATAGCATGTGACCCACTTGTCCTTACTAGTATCCCATGTCATAGACCTGACACTGAAGCCAGATAAAACAGCGAGGTAGGATTTACCTGGAGGACTCTGACCTCTACCCGCTGTGAACTTGGGCTGAATTGAATGAATTGCGTGGCGTGAAACTGGTGGACTGTGGCTTTACAGCGTAAAAGCTGTATTTACTGAGCCTCGTGCGTGGTTGCTGTGATGGCACCATTCTCAGGTGTACTTTTGCTGCTTACTCTAATGAACTCAGCAAAAACCTGCCATCCTGAAACACCTGCTTTATGTGCACACCACGTCCGAGCAGCTAGTTAAATCCATTTCCCCACTCTCAAAGACCCTCGCACTCCCTTCAAAGGCGTCAAGATTCATCTCAATGAGCAGCATTCTGCTTTGGCAAGCCTAAAGTGCAATTACTGCTGCAGCACGCTGGTGCTGCTCCAGCTACACCTATACATTTTGTACAGACATGTATTTTTCTCCTTCCTCACAAATAACAGCTGACACCACTGACTTTATCCTCTGCTTGCCTTGTAGTTAAGTTCAGGAGGTACACAAACTTCTTCTAAGAGGATTCTAGCTTGTTCATACAGATCCCGGTAAATACTGGTTAGTGAGGGCGTGTAATATGCTAAACAAAAACTACTCGTCATTTTTGGTACGAGTAAAACTCCTCTCCTGTAGACAAAACTGAAACAAACTGAGGGTCTGCGTATGTCCTGTAAGCGCACTGGTCATTTCTGATGGGTCCATGAGAGCAGGAAATGGAAAGAGTAGCAATCAGAGCCATACAGCGGGCCAGCCCTGAGCATTACCTGACAACATGGCAGTGATTGAGAGGACCTCGTTCGAGCAGTTGAATTCACAGCTGGCGATGACCATCTTGGCCAGCTGGGGGTCCAGGGGGAACTCTGCCATCATGGAGCCCAGCTCTGTCAGGTCGCCATCATCGTTGAGTGCTGCCAGGTAGTTCAGCAACTCCAGGGCTCGCATCAAGGTCTCTGGGGCTGGAGGAGACAGAATGGGAGAGACGGGCCGTTAAAGCGTTCCAAGCCTCCAGGCACAATGCACACAGATGATGGAGACAGAACAATTTGCAGAACTGTCATTGTTTCATCACAGTAACACTTGAGAAGAACAATTTGGAAGCCTCGGGACTGATGAATACTCAAATACCACATGCTCACATTTAGAGCTGAAATGATTAGTTAACAAAAAAAAAACCCAAAACAATCTGCAGCTACTTTGATAATCAATGAACTGTTTCAAGATTTTTTTTCCAAGCAAAAATACCATCCATTCTCTGACTCCAGCTTCTGAAATCTGACCTTTATCCTTACTCCAATCTGACTTGATGTTCTGGATTATTGGTCAGAGAAAACAAGATACAAGTCGTCACATGGGGCTGAGCTAGTTTTCCTATTTTCTGATGTCCTATAGACACAAAAAGAGAAAATTACTGGCTGGTTAAACATACTGACTAGAACCCTTGGTTGCAGCACTATTTCCATTTGTGCACCTTCACAGTCACATGAAATAATCCATCTGTCTATGTTAGCACTCAACATTAGCTTAAACTGTTCAGACTATTCTGACACACTTGGCAGGCAAAACTTAATATTTATATGAAGTCTGGCTATTCAAACATTTTTAAAAAATCATGCCTCATTGTGTGTTTAACTCTTCACAATCAAATTTAATTGATATCAAGGCTGAGAAGACTATGGAGTCAAAAAAAAAAAACCCAAGTCTGTCAAAATAAGAGTACTCCATAAAGACAGATTACGCAACATGAAAATTTTCACTTTCAAGCAACTAAATGTCAAAACAATTTTCCCAAACAGAGGCAAAAAGATTCATTTTCAACTGCAGCTGATTTCTTTTTTTAACCCTCTGCCATGTGGCAGATGCGACAAGAGAAAGTTACTCGTTGGCTCATTATTTGAGCACTTGACAAAAAACAACCTGAGAAAACAATGGAGCTCTGTCACCTGCTGTGCTTGGGCCTTTAACAGACGACTAATGCGAGTTAGGAAAAGACACAGACGCTTGAACAAAGGGAAGCTGGTGGCAGGGAGTGTGAGGTGAATCAGAATGAGAGGGCTGTCCGTATGTGATGGCCAGAGTTCCGCTAGACAGCGACTTAGCAGAGAAGCAATCACGGCAGAGCTCATTTTTCATCCTCCACTCAGGCAATCCTAAACAACTAATGCAATTACAGGGGAACTTTCTACTTAATGCTTCAACACAAAAGGTTTCCACCGTTTGGTTAAAAGATTTTTCCTCCAGATGCAATTATTGACCTTTGGCTCCCGTGAGCTGAAGCCTAATGACCAGTTGCATGTTAACTGAAAATTAGCTTCGAGCGCTGGCTGCAGCGCTTGTTCGCATTCATTTCTCTCAAGTGCTCCAAAAAAATTCAATTTCAAACAGTAAGGAGGCTTTTTTATGATTAACAAATATTGATCTAGGGCATCAAAGTGACTTTTTTTTTTAAAACACTAGGCGAGTGCCGGCCACATTACTTACCACACCAGTGGCTCGTGTGGGGCTGCACTAAAGGTGAAAATCTGCTTTCCATGTGGTGCTAACATGATGAACCAGTGTGGAAATTCAATCTATACACAACGCAGCTCATCAGAAAGCAAGTATTGACTGCCTCAACACACAAAAAAACACAATATATTAAGGAAGGGCCAAATCGATGAGACGAAAGGCTAAAGGTACATTTAAACCACAGCGGCTTTGAAAGGTACTTCTTTGGAAATGTCAGCAGGCAAATGAATCCCACCCAGCCAGGTCCTCGTGTAAATCGCTGCTGATTTCTTTCGGATTTTCCATTTGGCTGGCTGGCTCCCACTCCAGCTCCTGTTTAGTGAGTGCAGAGCAAGGTTTCGATGCAAGAGCAAAAATCAAGGCTTCCATTAAAATTATGAACAAGCTTAAATGGAAAAAGAAACCAACGTCTTAACTCAAACTGGCCTGAAATTTAAACACAGATAAAGGTGCAGCCTCAAACCAGGGCGGTGTGGACTGTGACAATAATAGGAGTGTCCACCTGTCTACCCACCGAGGACGTGAAACACTCCAAAATCAATTAATAAAGCAGTTCAAACAACAATAACGAAAAATCCCCTGAAATCCCAAAACTCACATAATGCTATTGTTTGATCTTGTACTTCTAGACCCTCCAGAGACCCTGTTCTGACCTGTCCGTTTACTCCGAGCTGGGCCTTTGACACAAAACTGATCTGCTGTAACTGGATATTATGAAGCGGCTGTTCAGGAACTCTCACAGACTCGAAGCTCATTTGTCGCACCCAGCTAGCTGTGGCCTCCGCGTGCTCAGGAGTTAGTTGGGAGAAACCTTCTGCCATGAGTGCATCAAACAAATAACAGGTAATCCTACCCTTTCCCTTCACCTCACTGCGACACCCAGCAGACAAGGCCAATCCCATATGTTGACGCTTACCCTTGCGTTTTGTGAGAAATGTGCAGGTGCAGGTGGAGGGGGAGGTCGGTCACGTTTCACTGGAGGAATATAAAGGCAACAGCCAAGGTGATAGTGCTGCTATTGATGTAACCAATTTCATTCTCAAAATGCCGTTTGCCACAGAGGACGGGGAGAAATGGGTTTAATCTCAGAGGTGAGATGAAAACTATATTATGGTGAGAAAAGACAGGAGGGAGGGTGAGGTTAAGGATACGGACAGGAGGGGTGGTCTTCTCGGGAAGCCTCACTGCTGGAGAAAGCCATGACTGGGTGCCTCAGCGAGACAAGGTTTTGGAATAGATTCAGCATCATCCAGATGTACAATAAATAAAAAGAAAGAAGTGACTGATCAGTCAGAATACCAACTCCACACGCTGCTCTTTTCTCAGCCCGAACAGCAATAATCCAAACTTAAAGTAAAACTCATACGTCTGATACGATTACTGCCTGGTCCACGTCTGTCAAACACTTCTCCTCAAATCTTCAAACATTCACTATGTCCCAAGCTCCAGGTGACACAGCTGACCCAGATTTGAAAGCAACCATGGTTCAACTAAACGTTGCTTCAGAGTAGCTTCTAACTGCCTTTGTAAAGGTTTGAATGGCGCTGGCCAAAATCAAAGTCCTAATATCATCTGATTTTGAAGTTATAATGGTTGTGGTTGGTTTGGTAACACCTGTCTGAGTTTGATGTACAACACTATGAGCAAAACACTGGTCACGGGGAACCCCCCCCCCCCCCACACCACCACACCGGCG